CAGTCAGCAAGCCGCGGCTCTTGACCCGGCCAATTGCCTCTCCCTCTTCACCAAGTTTGGCCGGAACACAGAATCCCGTCTTGGGATCCCGGTAGGGCATCTCCGTCTCGGTATCGTACTTGACTATGAACGTATCGTCTTCGAACCATCGCTTAATGGGACCAGAAAAGCCCACCTTCCCAGCACCCCATGCTCCTTCACCCCAGTTATCAAATTTCGCCACGCCTTCCGTTGACCGATAGAACTCGCGAATCTCCGGAACCCCAAATCGTTGGCGGAAGCGTTCCCAGATCTCTCCGCGCAACCCGTTGCCACTCGCGACTATGCAGTTATGATCACGATCATAAGGGGAAGGGGGCGTCGACAGCAGATATCTGCAGAGCTCGCCTATATACAGGATACGTGTGGCTTTCGAATCGTGAACGTCCTTCCAGAATTGAGAAGCGGAAAATTTGCGCCGAAGGCATAGAGTGCCTGCATTTCCAACTGAATAGCAGAGACCGGTAAAGTAGGCCGTACCATGGAAAAGTGGGAGAGGTGAATATGTGCGCAGGGGGTAGTACTTGGAGCGATTATCGAGATCGGTGGTGTTAGGGTTAGACGTGATCAGAGCCATCATGTTGCGGATGGCACAAGCCTTGGGCTTGCCCGTTGTTCCCGATGTATAGATCAGAGCACTCAAATCGCTGATAGATCTTTTAGCGGCGGTTGTCGCAGAAGGGGAGTATTGTTGTAACTCGGACGGCGTGATCACTTGGATTTCCCCTGCAGAGCTGCTGTCAAAGGAACCTAGGTTCAAAGCCGCATGAGGCAATTCGGAGCACACGAATTGCGATAGATCGGGTGTTGAGACAATAAATTTGCTCCCAGAGACGTTCAGGCAGTGGGTGAAGGTATCGTCTATCCAAAGAATCGTGAGTAAGTAATCATCTCCAAGACCGTACACAAGAGGCGTCTTATCTCCATACCGCGCAGATTGGTGTTGATGAGAGCAGCAACAGCCCCCAGTTTAGAGAGTGCATAGATTGTCACCACCATTTCGGGGGCATTGGTGGTGAAAACACCAACGAAATCTCCAGTATGAATGTCCTTGGTGTGAAGCAAGGACGCAAACCTATCAACAACTACAGGTACAGTCAGTCAAAGGAGCACGCAAGCTGGTATACAGAGCTCACGTACGATCTTTCAGCTGACTATAAGTCCACGTCTTGTGTTCAAACCACAAGGCCTCAGCTGCACCCTGTCCTTCAACTTCCACCACCCGTTCCAGCATCTTATAGAGCGTGGCGGTATCGCCTAACTGGGCAATCCGTTGGCCCAGGCGATTTGCCCATGTTCGTTCTTTGTATAGCAATGAGAGATCGGTCGAGATAGAGAATTTGGCGTTGATATAGGCCCCTGCAGCGGCCGAGAGGGCCGAAGCAATGGCTATGGAGGGGCCACCCAATTCGGAGAAGTACTCCATGTGAAAGGTGAAGCTGGGGTAATATCTGTATGGGAAAGAATACTGGTTGCAGAAAATAGGAAATGAGCTTCTTCTGCAGGTTCACGCTCAATTGCTTAGACAAATTCGAGTCAATTGCGGGCAGATAGCAAAGTCGGACATTCAACCCCGCATCAGGAAGAGGTTCAATAATCAGAATATAGGTCTGGCTCCGCTCTGATACGGGGAAGTGGGCAAATATAGGAACAGAATTGTGTCACGAAAATCCATGCGCTCGGAATCTGGGGTCGGGACGTGAGCCACCGAAAGCTGCCGTCCAGTGGTGGGGATTACTAGTGTTGACTACGTACACTTAGTCTGTTGGTATGTACTCTGTAAGCATGCTTGGAGAAGAACAAGCAGCGGCAAAAGAATGTTGAACTGGCTTCCGAGAGATGGCACGCGAGGCGTCAATTGGAGGGGCGCCTTTCTCACCCCTCCGCATAGATAACGCGCGGGCGCAGGTCCTTCGAGCCGGATTCCCTTGCATTCTGCAGTGTGGTTTTAGAGATGCATCCTTCAAGCCCGATAGCCTTCCAATCTTCTGTAGAGATCCTGCAGCGGGTTTGAAGTGGTTCCCAATGTCCCCATATCATACCAGGCACCTCAAAGGCGACCACTACCTGGCAGTGTCTTCAGACCTTGATAACTAATTGGGACATGGATATGACTCGACTCTCATCTCTGCATCTTCAGCAAATCCGGGGAGGGCAATTCTGGACGCTAAACCGGCCCGTCACTGACCCACTCGATTAACCGACGGTAATGATCCTGTATTGGAGAGTCTTTTACCGGAGGCAGAGAGTGGCCGACTTCCCGCAATACGTGCTCGTTCTGGAAAAGGACCGACAGCCGAGGCGATAGAGGTGACGGTATCATACCGCCGTGTAATTAAAAGGCGGCATTTCTCTCGGCTGCCACTCAATCACTCGGTCTCGCCCTTGAACCCGCTTGATCTGCAGACGTTTGGTACCGAGACGAGTTTCGGCTCGGTAGCTTTTGGCTAGTAATTTACTGTATTGTCTAACCTTGGGTTTCTAGGAGCCGCGGTTGTTCTTTTGATCCCCGTGTTTGCCCCAGGTTAATAATAATGGTTGTCTCCAGAGTATAGCTGATCCATTTTCTTTACTTATTCCTTAATAGCTTTATAGCCTTCTCTGCCTTTCAGATCTCAGTAGAGGTGCTCCGTTTTCAGAAGCAAATTCCTATTTCTATCCAAACGAGGAAAGAGAGAAGCAGCAGCAGCAGCAGCCCAGATCATGTCTTCCGCGCAACAACGATTGACCTCGATCGCAAACCAGCTTTCGGGCCCTGGTGCGGCGTCTGCAAAGCAAAGGGTCTTGTCCAAGAACCCTGACGATATCGTATGGCAATAATTGGCGCAGTCTATTCGTCTCTGGAATAACAGAAACTGACCAGTGGCAGGTGATTACACTGGCCGTTCGGACCCCGCTCACAAAGGCCAGAAAGGGCGGGTTGAAAGACACGAGTCTTGACGATCTTCTCATCTCGTTGCTGACGGTATTGCCATCCCACCCTCTCCAGCGCCGACATGTTCTCCGTCTCATATAGCTTCTAGTCCATCCGTGAAAAATCGAATCTTGACCCCAACCTTGTCGAGGATGTTTGCGTTGGAAATGTGCTGTGCCCCGGCGCAGCTTACGTCGCCCGTTCAGCTGTGCTAGCCGCAGGATTTCCGGTCACAGCTGCCGCTTCAGTCGCCAATCGATTCTGTTCCTCCGGATTGCTTGCCGTCCAGAACATCGCCAACCAGATCATGGCTGGCTCTATTGATGTTGGTATAGCTGTGGGGGCTGAGAGCATGAGCACCAACGCCGACGGTGGTTCTCCAGAAATGTCCTCCAAGATTATGAACCACCCGATTGCCTCGCAGAACATCCAACCTATGGGACAGACATCCGAGAATGTTGCCTCACAGTTCAACATTACCCGTGAAATGCATGATCGGTTTGCCGCCAACAGCTACCAGAAAGCCGAGCATGCCCAGAAGGCGGGATGGTTCAACGACGAGATTGTCCCAGTGAAGACGATAATCAAAGACCCCAAGACGGGCGAGACCAAAGAAGTTGTCGTCGACCGGGATGATGGTATCCGCTACGGCACCACAGCCGAGTCTCTGGGCAAGATCCGCTCTGCGTTCCCTCAATGGAAGCCTAGCGCAACTACAGGCGGTAACGCCAGTCAAATTACCGATGGTGCTGCCGGTCTCATTCTCATGAAGCGATCTCGCGCCCAAGAGCTCGGTCAACCCATTGTGGCCAAGTTCTGCGGTGCTACTGTTGCAGGCTTGGAGCCTAGGATTATGGGCATTGGTCCATCAATCGCTATTCCCAAGATTCTTACCAAGTTCGGTCTGAGTAAGGAAGATATCGACATCTTTGAAATCAACGAGGCATTCGCCTCAATGGTAAGTGGTCATCTCTCATCGGGGCTATAGCCACCCGCTCATTTTGATATAGGGAACGTATTGTGTCCAGAAGCTAGGCCTGGATGAGGCCAAAGTTAATCCCCGTGGCGGTGCCATGTAAGTAATGAATCGACAAATTAAAGCCTCATGAAGCTGACTATTAGCAGTGCTTTTGGCCACCCTCTGGGCTGCACAGGAGCGCGCCAGGTGGTGACCGCCCTTTCGGAATTGCGCCGACAGAACAAGAGGATCGCAGTTACCTCGATGTGTGTTGGAACGGTAAGATCTCCTTCCAGACTTGTGCACCCTGCAGGTGCCGAATTTCAGGCTAACAATGTCTTTATAGGGCATGGGCATGGCTGGTATCTTCGTCTCTGAGCATTGAGAGTGAAGTAATATTGATATTGATATTATACCTTGTAAATAGTAGCCTCCACAATGACGATTCTACTTTCAAGTTTAATTGGGTGTTCACTTGGTTTTCACACTTTGTACAAAATCGAGGGCGATTGCGGTGCAGTAGTAGCTGTGTGGGTTTAGAGGAACGTACCCTGTAGTTATCTAGATGTATAGACGTTGTAAGTCAATAACGGCTGCGCTTCATCCGGGGCGGTGGGTCATCCCCATGCCATGAGGGTTTCGGACTCCATAACTTTAGTGAGACGGGTAAGGAATCCGTAAGCCCCATCTAAAGATGGGCATTATCACGGGAAGAAGGTCACAGAACCAAACTACAGGCCTTCGGCATGCAGTTCCTTGTGTTTACTCCATGGTATGGTTTGAGATGAGTATCCATGGGATCTGATGATCTAGGACAAATGTTTCCTAGTGCCAAACGTAAGGTCAGACGCTAGTCCATCACGTGCATTCCCAATGCGTCCGTCGTCATCGGTGGCTGCCAAGACAGGCACCGCCGTCCCATGACACCGCTCTTCATCCTCTCTTGCCTCGTCTCTTATCTGTACCTCTGGTGATTCTTCGTCCGTCAATACTTTCTCGAATATACTTCATATTAGCTTAGCTAGTCCTTCGCTATTACTTGATTCTTATACGCAACGAAAGCTGCTGCTTTGTGTCCTCTTTGCGACCATGAAGCTCTTATCAACCGCCGCTACATTCCTCCTCTGCGTCGCCCCCTTCTCTACCGCCCGGTCTTTGGACTTCTTCAACTCTCAAACCCCCATCAAAGCAGAGAATGAGGCTGTGAAGGGCGATAACCCTCTGGTGTACTGCAATAACCCTTCAAACTATATTCTGCAAATAGAGCGTGTGGACCTCACGCCTAACCCTCCCCTGCCGTACGCTTCAATTAGCCTGCCTTCCCCGAACCGAATCGCATACTGATCGCTCTATAGTGGGAAGACACTCACCATCGAAGCTACGGGTACTTTGAATGAGAAGATTGAAAAGGGTGCTTATGTGAATCTGGAAGTCAAATACGGCCTGATTACTCTTGTCAGGCAGACGGCCGATCTGTGTGAGCAGATCGTCAATGTTGACCTTGAATGTCCTCTGGAGAAGGGCGAGATGACCTTGACTAAACAAGTTGAGCTGCCCAGACAGATCCCTCCGGTATGTGATTCCCTACTCTATACCGCTGTCGATGTCGAGATTAACCAGGTCATGATCAATCAACAGGGCAAGTACAATGTGCATGCCGACGTTTACACCAAAGACGATAAGCATGTTACCTGCCTTGAGGCGCATAACATCGAGTTTAAGGCGGGCTTTATCTGAAAGCTGACTCGGTGCTTCTGGGTACATGGCCGCAAAGCCTACTTTGCGTTGTTGACGCTGGATGTCCTTGCGTTCTATTGCCTATAACGAGCTGACGTTACACTTGCATATGTTCTGGTTTTGTTTCTCTGCTTTCCTCTACTTAAGTCCGCCTTCATCCTCAAGCCTTACAGTGACATGCCAATGTTTACGAAAGCCATGCCACGCTCTACGACTGTTGCTAACCTTTCGTTGCGCTACGTCCTCATCGGTGTTCTGGGTCTTGGTTTAGTGCCACATATTGTAGTCCATCCTTATCATTGTTCTTATAACCCGTGGCCTCCTTTCACTGGCATTAATCAGCATCTGTACTAAAATGCATTCGAAACATTGATCTCATTGACAGCATAGTCTAATGAAACGTACAGGTAGCCAGGCTTAGTGACCAGCGTATCGAACAACAACCCAGAATGGCTGCTGTGAGCTTGGTGTTATCATGCATAAGTGATATGATTGGGTATCTTCCCCTCCGCCTTCGAGCTAACTCTCATTCCATGTGTATACTTCCGCGAAACGGCAAACAAGAGACTGCAATGAGATAACACCACCAGATGGTAATACATATGAAACCTCAAATCGAAATGAACAGCGCGCTATCTCTACTCTCCAAACAGCCGTCGCACCCGCTTGAGTACACTATCCTTTTCAGGGTCATATGGGTGGTCCTTGCTCGGGATCTCGAGAACGGCAGGGAAAGCCTCGGCGTAGGAATCGACGCTGTGCCGGATACGCTCTGCAATCTATATCCAATTGTAAGCGGCCGTATGAAAGCACTCAAATAATTGTATAATTCGCAGGCGTCGCAGGTTAGGGACACTGCGAAGTTGTAACAAGGCACATACATGCTGGTTGATAAGGACAATGGCGATATCTTTCCTCTCCTGAGTGAAGTTCTGGAACGCTTTCTCGATCGTGGCAGTCTCAGTCTTCGAGTCTACCACAAGGAAGTTTCGCTGGGCATCTGCGCCATCCGTGACATGCTTCAATATATCATGTTAGTTGTGGTCGCATGTTTGTCGTTATCTGGCTGTTGTGCTTTGAGGATACGTACACCGACACCGGCAAGGAGGAGGCCTGTTACGGAGCTGGAAATAAACAGTCAGCGGAAGTGCCTCTCTCATCGGGTAGTAGCGGTATGTCTTACTCTTCATCTCCTATGACCGCAAGGAACTGCCGGTCCTAGATGTGGTGTATATGGTTAGTGACTGCTGTCAATGAGGAGGGGAAACCTCGGGATATTACCTTGTATGATACGGCCGGAGCCGCCATGGTTCAGGGAACAGGGAAGAAGCGGGCGTAAAGACTGTAAACTGCTTATATACTGGCGAAGTTCTGCGGCTGAAATTAGCTCGCGTCGCCCTGAGCCGATATACGAAGGTAAATATGTCCCTGGCGAGTCTGGCATCCCGACTCTCTTGCGGGAGACGTCGTCATAACGGGCGCCGGCGTCGCTTATCTAAGCCGAGGCCGCGCTCCACCCTTTGTTGTTGACAAGCGGAAAAGGAAAACTTCGGCTTCAAACTATCGCATTCACCAAAGGTTAGTCTCGAAATTTTCTGTATCTTGGTGCTATATCTGCGGAATATGGTTCTAATACTTGTTTTCTGATTATCCAGCATTCCGCGTCGCCAAAGTCACCATGCCCCGGCTTGTCCGCCGCCGACCATTGACGGAGCGCATCAAGTCCTACTTGAATCCTCTGGACTTTCTCTTGTGGCTGTCGGAGGAGATCGATACTCATGACTGGGACCAGTTTGAGAAGAACTGGGCGCTTCCCCTGGGGATAGCTTTGAATGTTGTCTTTTTGATCGCCAGGGCCAATAGTCAATCATACGGCAGTCAAGCCATAGATGATGTCTTTGGCGATGATGGAAGCACTCCATGGCTCAGTTGGTTTGTATGTGACGCCGAATCAACTTTGACTTTGCCTTGAATATACGCTCCATGTGCTGCATTGCTAACGCAACGGGTGATAGTCTTCCTTCATCGTCCACCTCCTCACCACCTTTACCGCGTTCAACGCCTTCTATACATTTTACCGGAAGCGACACTATCGCATGTTTGAAGCATCGATCGATCAGGCTCCTGCAACTCCCTCCGCTCACCGAGTCCGCGTTAATTCGACTCCTGTAACCGCTTCGCCACTGAAATATCTGGCGGATACGATAGCCAGATCAGCCCAGTCGAGAGCCCACCCAGACGCACAGCGAGATGTATGGGAACTTGCCGTCTGGGACCCTCTACCTATTTGCATTCGATTGTTCTGCCTCTTCAGTCCTGGACATGTCTTGGTATACTGGGTTTTCCTGCCCACTCAGCTATCCGATCCCCGACCAAGTGTGACTATTGTGACCACCATCTTCATAGCGGCACTCCTCTCGGTACAGATGACGTTCCTTTCCTCGTCCTATACCCAGCAAGCGAAGGATTCAATGGTGGTTCATAAGGAGGTGCTTCGTGAATACGACACCAAATACGTTCACCCTCGTACCCAGCCTCTGATGAGAGACGTGGCCACTCAATTCTCCGAGTCCGATTCCGATGTCAAGCAGAATAAGGTTGATACCTTCACGCCCACTGTCGTACTTCATAGAGGCTTCAAGACAAGCCCAAATCCCAACTACGTCAGCCATGTGGACCCCGAGGGCCGCTCTTCCATGCGCCAGTCCTTTGCAGCGACACCTACTGGAGTGTCTCATCGTGCAGCCGCGTTGCAGACCCCGAGCCATCTGCGAGATGCTTCTCCTATTGTGCGAAGCTCGATCTCTGCAATTCGCCAGCCTCAGTTCCGTCAGACACCGACGACTACAGGTGATGGTGGAAGCCTTGGCATTTACTCGCATGCCAACTCGCCTCTGAAGAAGTCTACACCAGCCAATCTTGAACGTCGTCTTCAGAGCAATGGTGACTTCTTTTACAAAGAACGGGGAACAAGTGCGATGAGAAGGCCATCTAGTCCCCTTAAAAGAAGTAATGTCCCCGCAGGCAGTCCCTTAACTCCGGGACCGAGACGGAGTCAAGTGGACGCACGCCGCGACAGTGGACGGTTTTAGCCTGAGTTGTTTGATCAAGGCGTCATGCGCCATTCATAACAGTAGCATGGAAGGAGTAACTCATGTATAGTATGCTATAACATCATACCGGCGTTGTCATCAGGTCATCATTGAGACTGTGTACCACTTGTGACCGTGGACTTCTTTTGGAGCATCAGGTGCGGCGTTAAATCATCCAAGCTTATGAATCCCTGTTTCTCATTAAAAACTTTTGTCTATTGTCTTTTGACTTCCCTTTGGCCATTGTACGACTACCTTGGACTTTCTCTTTGAAAACAATGGGTGCCCGGGTTCATTTGGGAATGTAGGCTGGGGTCTACTGATGGCTGATAGTGATCCAGCCGCTGAGCAACATGTTTAATGCGAGGCTGGACGACTATAACCTAACGGATTTCAGTTCCGCTTTCAAGCCGGTTCTACATGGCGCAGCTTTGACCGTCCTTAATGGCATACTTTATGTCGCCGGCAGCATCTGATTACTCACTGCTTATGATTGCACCTTTACGTTCGTGAACCTGTGGCGTTCGCTGTTTCCACACTAGGAATTCGCAGGTGACAAATGGAAGCAGCAAGTTCAGCTGCGTGATGCTTGCAGTTTCCATGCCGAACTATGTCACAGGTCCAGGCCTACATTCCATGGTGACCTCTATCCGCCCGTTGCTACATTCCTAATAGTGGCCAGCCCTGGCGCACTATACATTCCACCCCTTATCATTACATACATTATCCCTGCCCTACCACGCGGAACGCGCCCAGTGATGGGGTTGCCCTGCCAGCTTTCTTTCCAGACCCCTGTCGCGTTCCGATGAAACCACATCCACGACCAAACGCCCAACGCCTGCACGGGCGTGATTTTGCATACACTCGCCCGGAGAAGAAGAGCATTGAGAGATATTCCAGCGCTGGTGGAGGAATGGGTCATTGTTTTGACACTGTCTGGCTTTAAGGTCGAAGCTGCTTGGGCTGCAGCAGTCCTGAACGGGTGAAAATGGAGGAATTCTTGCATCTACCAAATGGACATCTGCTAAATCTTCAGCCTCGACCCCGCCACGGCAAGCGGACAAGAGTCAGTAACGAGGTATTAACGCCCACGCGAGTGCAAGAAACTACGCCCAAACCCGACGAGCGTCTCAAGTTCGGAGGGAAAGACAGCACCAGCGCTTCGCCTGACACGGCTCCGCGAAAGAAGACCCCTACCAAATTACCCCTTCCCAAGTCTCTTACCGACAAGGAGAAACAGCAGCCAAAGGAGCAACCCGCCACTTCTGAACAGAAAGGGCATCGCGCAGATAGAGTTCTTCAGCCGAAGAGGTCGTTTGGAGCACTGCAGCGTTCATCCCCCAAGAAGACAGACAACGATCGCGACCAATACTGGCGCAAAGTGAAGGATAGGTTTGAGAAAGATATTCCCGGAGCATCTTTCAGTAAAGAGAAACCGAAGGAATACTACCAGGAGGCCTACCGAAAGATAGTTTCACTAGCCAACTCTCCAAGACAGGAGATTGCCAAACAGAAGCAGAAATTGGCGGGAGGGGTGCCTCGGGGCGACAAAACAGTTCTCCAAGGTCCGAGCCCTCCAACAAAGATTCCGAATTCGAACGACATTCGAACAAGTTTTGGGCGCACTGCGAGAGAAGGGGGAGCAGGATCCTCTACTGGTCAAAGAAAGCGTCCGATCAATGTAAACCAACGAACGCACCTGAACTTCAGCAGCTCCACACCAGCAATATCGTCTGAGAGAACAGACACTAACACCGACTCCTCCGAACACTCACATCCCTCAGTTTCACCCATATCCGCTCCGTCCAGCTCCTTAACCGAGTGGGAAGACAAGTTTGTTGTTAATATGCCAACGGCTAAGGAGCCAAATCCGCCGATCATGACTACTCAACAAATCTCCGATTTTCAGCAAAGCATTGAGAAAGTCCACAAGGAAGGCGGGGCGATGCTAGATCCAGACACTCTCCCAAGCCCGCGTACCAGAACCCCCGAGGATAGCACCAGCAATCCTCCTGGGCAAGAAAAGACTTCGACGGGCCTTGATGGTCAAGATTCACGTGTCGGCCGCCCCACTGAAGTCAGTGATTCCAATTGTTCATCAGGACACCGCCGCTATTATAGCCCAGAAGAAGTCGGAAAGCAACGGTTCAGCACAATATGGGAAGAGGGCCCTGCAAAATCGGTGAACAAGACCCCCGCTGCAAACCCAGATGGTTCTTTTTTAGGGTGCAAGGAGATCAACGGGCCTTACGACAAAAATCCGGACGAGATTCTGCTCTTCTCTATGACGGACGAGCGCCCCAGAATGATAGACATCCCGTCCGGACGATCCAAGGTGTCGAAGGAAGGGAAGCGAATCACCAGCAACCGTGCAACGTCGACATCTCCGGAGAAATCTGTCGTTCAAGAAGAATGGAAACCAATTTCTCGGAATTTGAAACAAGCCCAATGCTCGAAGCCCTTGCCCAAGACAATGTGTCAAGAGGCAAAGTGCCGCCTGCCGGACCAGACGGAGGTCTCTGCCAAAGCGTCTATGACGGAGAACCTGGATCCATCAGCAAACACAACCAAGCAGCACGACAAGCAGAAGTTGGGCCGCAAGTCGGACGATGTTTTCATTATCACACCCACTATCACACGCACTATGGTGACCATGGCAGACTTGAGAAGCAGCCCAAAGAATGCAGACGCGCAGGAGCCCACCTCTCGCGCCGCGGGAGAGATAATATCGGACTCACGAGTAAAGCAGACACTGAGCAGTTCGGCATCAGGCTTGCGAAGGGCTACCCAAAACTCTTGGGAAAAGTCAAATACGCCATGCGCAGTATCTTCAACTGCAGTCCCTCCTACCAATACACATCCCACCCCCAAAAGTCGAACAGAAGCCGACCGTACCTCTCCGCAAAGACCCCGCGCTATTCGTGGGTTCATCCGTACGCAAGGACTGCCCAAGTCCAAAACAGAAATATCCGGCGAGCCAGTGTGCAATAATCAGCAGAAGCCTTACATTGCTAGTGTATCGCCTAAAAGAGGCAACACACACTCATTGAAGAGCGCGTCGGATACGACACTCGTTGAGAAACCGTCAACTCCCGAGGCAATTTCTCCTACGGCCTCGATTAGCAAAGATAGGTTTAGACAGGACAGCGTTATGCAAGAGGCTGGACCTATTGAAGTTGCTGAACTGGATGGGCAACAAGTGTCTGACACAGCAAAAGAGTTGTTCTACTCTAAGATTACTGATTTTAACACTGATCTACATTGCAACGGTCTACCTACCCACAACAAGGAAGCGCCAAGTCAGGAGATAATGGGCTATGTCAGGGATGCTCTTATAGAGCTTACCGGACAGCTGCAAGGTCTCTATGATGAAATCATGGCCAACCGGCATTCCCGGGCTATGCTAGTGAAGATCACCTTCAATAATGTATTGAAAATGATCGAGCACTGCTTGCATGTCCTCAAAGATCTTCTGGGAATCCTGGCCCTCTACAATACGACAGGGTCCTGGCCAAAACCCACTCGCGAGGATTTCGCTCGGTCATTGATTGATCTCTGCAAGGCTATGGTCTACCTCATTGCGCTCGGGTTCGTCATGATGGTCATAGGCCGAGCAGCCGGGTATGTGGTCCTTGTTGGCAGTTGGATTGTGTGGTTTGCAAGGCCCTTCGCATGGTTACTGGGGGCATTAGGAAGGGCTCTCTTGGTATAAGCTGGTCTGTCCTTGGGTTAGTCGGTTTGGTTGTTGATATAAAGCGGCCTTGGCTCAGGTTATGCTAAGGTAACACCTGTTCTGCTTGTTCGCTTACATTTCTTTCAAGCGTGACAGGGAAGCACATGACGTTCCTGCTTAACCGTGTGTCAATGTTGGTTGGTTATCATGTATCATGTTTCCAAGTATTTTTAACGTAATGCGGTGTATCCATTATTACCTCCTGTACCTAGTCTAGTCTAGCGACTCGTTGAATGTTAAATGAAATGCATCTTGCCTGATGTTTGTTTCCCTTCCATAGAGATAAAATGTAATCTGCCCTCGAATGATGATTAAGCCACCTTCACTGACTACGTTAGTATTTACTTGAGTTTAATACCACATCTATCCTCAACAGATTTGAATGCATAGCTATATCTCACTCACTTTGACGCATCAAGCTCTACCAATACGATTCCAAAGTAAAAGGAGAGAAATATGGAAAGAGGAAGAAATCATGCTTCTATTGACTTATAAGAAATGCTAGGCATTATAATACTCGCCTAGCCAGCACCTGTATTTCACCACCGCCATCACCACAACAAGAATGCAAAAATGTTGAATGCAAACAGAAATTATGAGAGAAAAAACCCGGATATATAAGATAAAATGCAAAGAAGGAGGAAAAAGAGAGTTGATTAAGTAGAGAGGCCAAGAAGGGAAGAAAAGTATCAAATGCTCCATTTAGAAGACTCCGTTCCAAATCCCATGTTGAAGAGGATCACTTTTTGTTGAAATGCATAAGCCCAACTCCGTCATCCATAGTGTGTTGAAGATCGTAAATACCCCCGAGAATTTATTTTCTGTAAGCCGTCTCTGTTGATAGAGTTGAAGAACAAAGAGAGAGATAGAAATGTTGAGATAGAAGGCCCTTTTCGTTTCCGGAGAAGAGCTTTATCATGAATAGATGAAAATATTGTTGAAGATGTATTTTTTTTCCATGCTCGATGGGTTGCGAAAGCAAAAATCCGAGAATAGGGGGGTGGGGGTATAAATTTGGAAGGTGAAGATGTCATGTTGAAATAGAATAAACGCTCAGGGAAGAAATCGTTGAGAGGTCTTCATGGTCGTGCCGCCGTAAAACGTTGCAAAAGCCCGGGAGTGTTCATTCGGGCAGGTAATCGTTGAGGTTGAGATGTTGAATTAATAATATATGTTGAATTAGGAAGTCGTAAGTGAGGTTGAAGAAAGGCATATAGTAAATGGCGGACTGTCCCCACGGGGGCTGCAGGAGCCACATCTAGTTTTTCACTGCAAGTTCCGGAGCTGCTCCGTCAGTCGCGCCATTGGTCGTTCCGTTTGTTGCTCCGTTCGTGTGAGCTTTCGGCTCACCGTTCTCGACGGGGATTTCAGTATCAAGTTCTCGGACATCCAGGTCCTTGAATAGATCAAAGAGGTTGCTGGTGTTGTGGAAGTCGTTGTTGACTGGAAAGCTTGTGTTAGCCATCATTTTCTCAGCAAGGGCACTATATTGGGAGCTCACCAATGTTGACAAGGTGCCAGTTGTCCATCACGCCCTGGATCAACTTTCTGCTGGGGCTGGAGGCATCATGGCATTTGGCCCAGTCATCACCCAGACGGTACGCCTCGTCCTTCCAAGCCAAGAAACTGACAGTTTCCACGATTGTGGGCTGGACGATCTCTCTTCCAGCGAAGATACCCCAGGTCAGGGCATTGGGGCTGTCGCGGGTGTTGGTGCGCAGTTCACCCGTCTTCGAGACAGCATGGTACGTAAGGTCACCATTCTTCTCGATGCGAGCGATCAGCTCGTCGATCAGGTAGGGCGGGACCAAGAGTTCGAGATATGCCTTCTGGTAAACATATCCATTCTTCGGTCCCCATCCATACACGGGATGGGAAGACTTGACACCGTTCACTGCCGGCTGGGAGTTGATTGTGAAGAGACCCTTCTGGTTCAGGTCAATGAGACTGGTCTTGATCGCGTTGGCTTCGGTAGTGATAGGAGTGTCGCTCCAGGGCAACCGGGCCAGCTTTCCTTCGAGGAAATTGACAAAGATATGAGTAAGATCCCGAAGGGATCTGGGCTCTCCCCACAGCTTGATGTTCTGCTCGTTTGTACCCTTGAGGCCGATGCCATAGCTGTCAAGTTCGCCGAAAGCAGGAGAACGAGAATCGGTCCAGCGACCGTTCGGGAATTCATCCCAGGTCTGTGTACGGGCGATGTAGGACGAGTTCCGGTTCCTCCAGAAGATCGGGCGAACATCCTCGGCTCTGCGGTTCAAGCCAAGTGATGGCCTCCAAGGCAGAGCTCTCTGAAGCGGTGTCTCTTCGGAAGGCATGAGGTTGAGTTCGTCAAGGACCAGCTGTGTGGACTGCGCAAGGTTCATTGTGTAACTAGCCAACCCCCGTTAGTCATTGTCTGACCGAGTTAGTTAAAGTAGACGTAAGAGAACACTTACAAGTGCAGGTGGTTGATACCAGCCGCAATGAGCCTCCTACACATGTCTGCAATCAGCCGCTTTCCAATGTCCCTTACAGCAGCGTCGTCGTTCTTCACAGGTTCCAGTGCCTCGAGCCAGTCCGGGGGAATCCGAGTTTTGGTCCAGTCCGATCGTCGGATGAACGCAGCGTAGGTTTGAATCGGCATAATACCAGGAATAATGGGCACATGGATGCCCCTGTCCCTGCACTTCTTGACCCAGCCGATGAAGTTGTCCGTGTCGTAAAACATCTGCGTAATGACAAACGATGCTCCAGCATCAACCTTCTCTTTCAGGTGGTCGATCAACTGCTCCACATCCGGGTTGTCATCCGCACCTTCCGGATAGCCTCCCACACCAATATCGAAGTGGTTTCCATACTTGCTCCTAATGTACTTGACCAAGTCTTTCGCATAACGGAATCCTCCATCTGCAGCTTCCCAAGCCTCCTTGTCACGCGGAGGATCTCCACGGAGAGCCAAAATGTTGGTGCAGCCTGCTTTGTAGGCAGCCTGGAGTGCGGCGTCCACCTTCTCTTGGGGCATGTCCGTGCAAGTCAGATGCATGCATGTCTCCAAGCCATACACCGACTGGGCAACGTTGACCATCTCGCAGGTCAGGTCCGATAGTCGGCCGCCAGCCCCCCACGTGATATCAATGAAAGAAGGACCTAATGCGTGCATGCGATCCATTCTGTCGTAAAGATTCTGAACACCTTGGGCCGTCTTCGGGGGGAAGAACTCGAAGGAAATGCCCGTCCTTCCGGCCGCTTCATTTTGAGCGAGCTTCTCTTTGATGTGCATGGCGAAAAGTTACACTAGTGGTTGGCAGAGTAGGTCAGATTCTGGTCCGTGACAAAAGTGATGAACCGGCAATTCAGAAGCCAGAACAACGGTTGTCGAGATAGTAAGAAAGTTGGACTTACACGTCCCAGGCCACTGCAGGAGAATAGGATTACTCGGAAGCAGGTATCATACACGTCCTGCTTTCAAACGCAGTTCAGGTACTGATGTCGTGACTTTGTGGCTCACCGGTTCCACCAGGGACAGCAAGACCACTTATAAGGGAGGGAATACGGGGGGGTAAAAATCAAATTTTATATGAAGCAGCACCTTGTTAAACTCGGAAAACCCCGTAGGCAACAAAAACGACGGACAAGAGAGAGGAGGAGAAAGAAGAGGAGCAGCAACGAAGTAATCGAAGCCAGTGGAAAAGGTGGGGTCTGCTTTTAAGCCGCCGGTGTGATTCAGTCGGACGAGTTGGAATCCATCCACCCAGCGGCCAAAGAGGGGGCCGGCCTTCGGAGATGGTGGGCCGGCACGTGCCCCGGTCTGACTGTCCCTTCTTATTAATGGTTCTTCCCGCAATCATGACTAGTAAACTACTCTTTGTAGTTATCTACTCTCCCTTCGGTAAATTCAGGGCAGGCAAGGGATGGTTTTGCTGGTCTGGCTGTAGAGTCAGGCCAATACACAGCCCTGTCTTTGCAAAGGACTTACTTGGTCAATCTACTACGAGTTTTAATTGAATACGGAAAGATCCTTCGTGGTTTATCTATTCTTCAGTGTCTTACTATAGATAGTTTACTATTTCTCCGCCGGTTCGGAGTCTAACCTCCCGCGTCCCGAAAAACACCGAACGAGGAAGAAAAAGAAAAAGAAATCTTAAAACCCGAAAACAACAATTATTGCTACATCGAGAGATTGTCTAAATACTCAGGTAGGATTAGGGACTTCAAGCTATTCAGAAAAAATCCAATATCGATCTTATTTATGGTGGTTACTTTCTTAGATAGCATGATAGTATTAGCAGGTTACTATTGTTAGCAGAACAACAGTCTCAGGATATAGTTCTGATTGAGTCACTCCGCCAACAGTCTGGAAACACTTCATTTCAGTTCACGCCATACTACTATTGCCAAACATCTTCAGATCATTCAAACATCCTTTAATTACAATGAGTTAAATTACAATGAGTGCAAGTTTATTAGACAGGAATTAGTTTGCTGTCTCTCCTACTGTCAGCGGCATAAGGTGCACATCTAGAATGCTCGACGCAACAAATCATCATCCATCAGTGGCTGCTGGTCTTGATCGAATTAGTAACCATGAAAAATACCTTCAATTAGGCCATTGCAGGACCAACTATGATCATATCCAATAAGATTACAGAGACTGTGATCGAACAGCTAATTCTGCATTACGACACGAATATGTCTGATGGTTGCTGAGTGCGCCTGTGCCCTCGTGCAAGAGCATACCAAACTTTGCAGCTCTAACTTGAGCTTGGGCAGCACATCATACATGCCTAAGCTCCATGACAACTGCTCACGTCTTGCTGATTTGGGCGAAGCTTATGAGGATTCTCCCGCAAGGCCTACCGAAATATAGTTCTAACTGCGGTTCATATATCTAGACCACTATATCAGGCTAATGGCCAGCTCCAAGGGGCAAAGGACCATCTTCATAATATATATACGGCTTCTTGTGAACGCAATACAATCTTGCTAGTGTTACTAGGTTTTAATGTACGTTTTAATGACATGTTTTGACAAGACTTAGCATCGAATATTGCAGATTTCAGAGTTTATCTCTTCCAAAAAGTCTTCTACGACTCCATACTGTCTTACAAGACAGCAACCCCATCTGTAACGCCTCTGCTATTGGGTCCTAATATGCCATGCGAAGCCACAGTAGAGCTGTAGATGAGCTGTGAGTATTCCTAACAAATACTATGTGATCGTGTGCTTCACTATCAGTCAGCTGAGATTTTCAGGCTAATTGACAAGCTTCTCAATTAGCTGCCATGCTTCAAACAGAAATTTGTGCTTTTGCCATAAGTCAAGTACAGGACTAGCGCAAAGGAAGATGTCCTAGATTGTTCGATACATTCCATAGTTTGCAGAGAACGACACCAAGAACGCTGAAGTACCTGCCTGCAATCCCAACTGCATACTTGAAACTACAACTAATGCGAAACTGCGGAGATAACCGTCTGCCATGGCTCCTATCCTTGATGTCTTGCTTCCGAGTACACTGTCAGTATAGGATACCTATTTTTGGCATTCAGTTCCCTCGCTAAACCAGGCCAACGTCTTCACCCATAGTGGTACATACCAATGCTCAGAACTGTCATAAATGCGACAGATAAATAATAAGTTGACACAACAGTCAATATGTTGTACAATGCTGTGAGATCTTAACCTTCAAGCGATTGATGCATGAATAAATGAGGTCGCTAAAATGTATGTTACAGCGGTGTTGCAGGGAAGGAGCGGTTGAAGGCAGCCACAGTTACTCAATTACTGTGGTGGAGTCACCTCGCATTCTCCGCAACAGATTGACTGACAGCGAGACTTGATGATGGAGGTCTTGAGGCATAAAATATGTCTAACTGATTACGATTTAACTGATGAGCTGCAATGGCGCAACGTCAATTCTGTTCTACCGTACGTTTCAGAGGAAGATATCAGGGAACGCTAGAATTTCGATTGTGAGCGGCTACAAAGACTGAAGTGACAAAGTCACTCAAAACGCAGGCTTTCAAGCTAGTGCTACCCTTGTGTGCCTCGGATTTGATCCTGGATGTGACTCCAGCCTGCGCTGCTTAAGGACAAAGACCTCTGCGCAACTTATCGAGAAAAGTAAATCGCCTCAACCTCGGTTGTTATACCGGTAAAATATTGTGATATCTAACACACCCTCAGGTTGGACAGACCACATAGGCCGTGTCCTTTCCACCTGCTAGGAGTCGACCGACGGACTTTCACATCCATCGATTTAGCTTTCATGAACAAAGGTATTAGGTGGAGTGTTATCTGGAACCGCCACCCAGAGGGACCGGTGAGAATGAGATCCCTGTGGCGACCCGGCAAAGAGGTAACACAGGATTCTGTCTCCAAGGTTTCCTAAGAGAAGAAAGATTAGAAGCTTTACTTGCATCATACTAAACAGTCGGTGAATACCCGGGTAAATTCTTACGTATTCTATCTTCCCCTCCCTCTAATCCGATTTTACTTCTGACCAGGAAATTTTGTACCCATTTCCGGCCTCCGAATTTTCCAAATCAGAGCAGGATGTGAGTTCCAGTGTACTAGGGTGTGGGCTCTGCAGGGTGCCTTTTCCCTGTTCTATCATTAGCCATATAATATCCCATCTGCCTGGTCGGCCAGCGCGCTTGGGAACACTATCAACAAAGGTTCGCAGATGGCCTGCATGAGCAGCTAAGCTAAAGTCTTGTCAGTGATCCACAAAAAGTGATATATAAGCTTACTACCATGCCATGTCGAACAAGTCAACTTTGTCCGGGGTCTGCAGTATCGATGCAGATGATATGTGCTTGGGCCCCACTGTCAAACCATGTGCCTATAGGACTTACCGGCGCCTGCACACTAGATAATCCAGCTCACATAGGAAGACAAAAGCCTGAAGATCAGAAATGGAACTGTGGCTCAGACGCAATATTGCCTTCAATGGCAGATGGGCAAAGTTCACTACACTGTGCACAGACCATACAGCGGTAAACCTAAACCAGGTTCTGTCTCTCCACTTCATTTACAATTCCATTGTGCATGCAACCTATTGCTAATGCCCTACAAGTGAGCACATCATCTTGGATCACTCAAGCACCAGACCAATGGCTGCCACACCGCATAGAAGGACGAACCGGTCGCTAAGTACCGAGGTGAATTGTGATAGTAGTATGGATTCTCATTCATGTATTCACGTCTGACGTCTCCATCTTCGGTATCTACCCTGGCTCTCTCAAGACTGTCGAATGAGGCGACCGCTCGTTGTCGTAAAATCTGACAACAAGGAGCTGTAGGTGGGGTGGGGAGCTGAGAGGATCTACTGCCGCAATGCCCAAAGACTAATGCATGCATTCAAAGTTTTCTAAAGCCACTTGGTATACTATCCATCTTTTGCATGATATACACGAGTGCACCTTGAGCCTCTCTCAAGGAAGGCTGGGCTCTGAACTGGACCAGCTATTGTGGACCTTGGCATGGGGCACACGGGCATTCTTGGTCAGACATGTCAGGACACTAAGATCTTATGGCATCTAGTATTATGACAAGGTTCTACTGGTATCTGGGAAGGAAGTTGTTTGTAGCAGAGAACAGCAGTGATGTGTTCAATTCGCAACAGATACCCAAGCATGGCTCTATCGGCTGAAAGGTTCGATGCGGTCCGCGCTCGGGTGGATGACAGTAACACAATCCAACGTCCAAAATTCTGCATACGTATCTAGTATGAAAGACTACCGGAAGACAGGGTTCGATATCAAGTGGATCGAGCTGATGTGTTGTTGATCATCGTTCGTCCGAATGGTAGGTGAGCAGGGGCCCTCGTAGCGATCATCGGAATATCCAGCCGCCAAGATAACCCCAGGGAAAGGATAAGATTAGGGACCAGATTCGACTTGGAAATTCGACAAGCGGTCTGGAGTGTGGCTTTCCCCACTTTGGCTGCATGAAATTTTCAGAAGAGCCAATAGCAGCTTGACTGAAGCAGATTGAGTCGCGCTAATCTGAACTTAAGAGTTGCTTCAACCACGGCGACGGTATCTAGTCGCATCTTGGAATGTTTGCCTGCATTCATGCCATCGCATCGTGGCAGTAATGCCAGGGGCTTGCGTTTCTGGATAATCACAGATAGACTGCAGTCAACGACGTTTATATGAGGCTAAGCTAGTGAGATGTCAGGTATGGCATTATGGACATTTACCTCTCCCCATGGCATCGCACGGATTACAATACCGCCCGAAGCAGGTAGCAGTTGTGCGTGGCTTGCCTATGCATATTACATGTCACTATCATTTGACAGTTGTCCCGACGCCACGAAACAGGCATGAAACTATAAGATTTCAAAGCAAGGGAGCGCGTCTATCGCCAGGGAAAATTACCGTAGGTGGACGTTCCAAAAAGCCCCGGTTCGGGTTTACGATCGATCCAGAGCGTTACACACACCTTTTTCTCTCCTTCTCTCTATCTCGAGCGATGGGAGCACCCAAC